CACTTGTCTTTCTCTCACAGGACAAATCCATCCAGATAGTGTAAAATGAATATCCCCTCCGGTCTTACTTCTGCAATAAGGGTTACAAATATCTTTGAGATGCCCTCAGGTGAAGAAAAGGACTTGGAACTGGTAATGATGATCTTCGAGGAAGAACCTGATGAATTTCTGATGTGACTTTGCTATAAGGACATGGAAATACGCATCCTTCAGATCTAGCAATATTAGCCAATATCCCACATTGATCACCTTGATTATGGATGGCAAGGATTTCATTCTTGACACACAGCATGGTATTGAGCTTGTGTAGGGCTAGATATGATCTCCAGTTGTCTGTACCCTTTGAAGCCAGAAAAGAAGGGAATTCAAGCCATGTCCAATTTCTTTAATTGGAACTGGAAGAATGATTCTTAGTTCTTCCAAGGAATTAATTAATTCTCGCAGAGCCCTTCTTTTCTTTGGGTCTTATGGAAATCTTGAGACAAAGAATCTACTGGAGAAGGAATTCCTTTGAATCCTAGGAAGTAGCCCTTCTCGATTACTCTTTACCCAATTGTCCTTGTGCACAAAACCTTTTTGAATAGGAGCAAGTAAGCTCCTATCTTCATAGGCTGGGCCTGCAAACTTGTCTTGACGAGTTACCTCTTCCTCTTCCCCTTCTGCTTGTGACCTGGTTAGATTTCCAAGTTTGACTGCAAATAAAAACAGTTTTCCAGTTCTAAATTGCTTGGAATTACAAAATGATCTCCTATCGGATCCTAAAGTTCTCCTCCTACCTTTGTCACTTTCACTGGGAAAAGCACTCTTCTACCATCAGCAGCTTTTTAAATGTAATCATACAGAGATTTTGGTGGTAACTACCGGGGATTTCCAAGGTGGTGTTAGGGAGCTGAGATATACAATCAGGGAAACAGGAGTAAAGCCACTGCACTATTTTATACCATGAACCAAACAATGAAATTGTAGCGTACCTTGTACCTCTTGAGTGCAACCTATTTTAGCTGCAGAAGCCATAGAAACACTATGGTTCCAGTTCTGACTCTATATTAACTTAATCTCAATAAAGTTGCTATGGGGACTGGAGAACAGAGGCACTGTTTTACCTTATGGTGTTAAACCTTTTTTTTTTTAACCCTTAGTTCAGTTTCCAGGTGCATAGAACATCAATTCATATGTATTCCTGTTAGACGCTCTGCTAATAGCGAACCAAGCATTGGCTTGGCAGCTGACACTTTCGGCCTACCAGTGGCCGCCAATCCAATACTTCCCTTTTAGCAGAGTGGCTGAGAGGAAGCAGCATGACGGGTACCTGAAACAGAATTTTTTTGTTAAACTGTTCCAGGCCACATAATAACTTGATTGAGATGAGGTTGTTATGGGGCTGGAGTGGCCGTTTAATTGTGTAAATAACATAGGAGCAGTTACACGTGTTCTAATAACTGCAAAAGACCACAGAAACACTCTTATATGAGTATATTTAAATATATTTTGTTAAAATGTATCTCTCCCCTCAAAAGAATAAAATTTGACAACTGGACCAAGGTTATAACTAAATACTATAATTATCCTAATGAATATTTGCCCATGGCCTTTCTTTCTAAGCATTTCCAATTCAAAGGCACCTGTTTTTTTAAGAATATGTTGTTGTTATGGTGCTCGATGCCCCTTTATTTTAGATAAAAGGGGAATGTAATGTTAATTTTGTTAAAGGATGCCATCTGCTGGATTAATTAATGCATTTTCATACTCTTCAGGATCTGCATTGTGATTGTACTGCAATGGTGACAAAAATCTCTGGCATTTTCATTTAGAGCAGAATCCCATTGCAAAGATGGTAGTCATAAGAATATATTAAAAAAGAATAAAGGACTGTGAAAATGTATTACTAGGCAGAGGTAACTTTCTTTAAAATGTGTTTGCAATATTTTCATCTCAAAGACATTCCATTTGCATTTATAATAAATGACTCTTTGTATGGTACGTAGAAGGGGCTTCCTGTTATGGATGTAGAGTGGACTGTTCACTTAGCAGCAGGAATCAATGAATGCTTCTTTATCTGCTTCATCAGGATAGGGTTAATAATAAAAAAAAGGTAATGTAAGGATTAACAGAGAAGCTTGTCTACACATACATAGCATTATGACAGCTATGTTAGTTCATAAAATATTGAAGGAGGAAATGCACTACTTTAGGAATAAAATGGTATTTTTCATGTTTGTATTTGAATGAGATTCAAATTTTCTGTATGTACCCAAAAGTGCACAATTTGGGTGTTTTAAGCAATTCCTACCAACAAGGCATCATAAGCTTCTCTAGACTGTAAGCTCGTTTGAGCAGGACCCTCATCTACCTATTGTTCCTGTGTCACTGTCTAAATGAGTCATTTAGTGTAAATACCCCCCCATCCCTTTCATAATATACTAAAGCGCTGCGGAATTAGTTGACGCTATATAAATACCAATTATAAGCTTGAAGTCAATCAACTGGGATGGAACTAACCACTATTGCTTTTTTTGTGAATGACCAAATTAAAAATAGTAATTGCATACATTGAAGTAACACTCCAAACATCATCACCCCTACAGCTGGCTGCAGTAGTTATGGTGCCATGGATGTCCTGGCTCAGATCCACAGTAAGTAGACAAACTGTTTTTGTATGGTTTCCTAACTAGTCTAGGTTACACCTGGTATCCACACTGCATTCAGCCTTCTCCTGCAAGCAAGCCAGATATCTCTATTGAACAAAGCAAGGCTGATGCAGAACCGCACCTTAAGCCAAATGGCAGTCTTGCATGGCCCTTCTTTGCTCTATAGAGCAATCCAGATTCTCCAGCTGGATGCAGCGGCAGCAACACAAGTTAAAATGCCAATCCAGCCACCTAAACAACATGCTTAAAGTTGCCATGCTACACACAACACTACTCATTTTATATCCAATAAAAGTTTATTGAAATGTAAGGCATAAACTTATAGAAAAAACTGAGTATTTGAGATTGAAGTACAAAGGTAGCAGTTGTCCCTATTTATAGTTAGGCAGTCATGATTCAGTTTGTGTATGTATAACATAGATGTGAGTATTTCTGTAATAAGAGAACACTGTGCCACAATTAAACTCTTCTGGAAAAGCATCCAAATATTAATATCACAAATACTAAATAGACCGGTAGACCTAAACCCATGGACATTTCTGCTGGCCAAACCCCTCGACAATTGGTCCAGACCAGAACAACAACTGCTAAACAAAATAGCATTGGCAGCTAGAAAAGCCCTAGCCCAAACCTAGTTGCGATCCCCCCACCCCCAATGACTACAGTGCTCAACAAAATCAAAGAGTGTCACCTCATGGATAAATTGATGGCCCAAATAAGAGGCTCCATGAAAACATTCACTAAGACGTGGGAACCATTGGAAAATTACATTGACAAACAATAAACCGCAAAAGACGACCTGATAAGAGAATCAAAAAGTGAGAGAAAGAGGAAAAAAAGAAAGGGGGAAGGAGTAAAGGGGTATACAAAGGGGTATAGGGGAGAGAGGGACAAGATGTTTAAGAAAGGTGGGGCTGGCACCGACACGCCTACCAGCTCCACCCCAGTCATTGTGCCCCTCCAGCTCCATTTGTTTCCCCTATGTCTGCAGAGGCCCTTCCCACAGGCCCCCTGTTTCCCAGACGTGTCTGCTCTAAGAGTGTCGCTCTGCCTCACCTTTTTAACCAGGGCCACCCACAGTAGGGGTAGTGGTATTGGTTGCTTGCAGAACTTTGGAATCAGTGCATTTATTGAATCCAGGAGGCAGGGCACGATCGACTCTTTATCTGCGCACTGGCTGAGAAATTTTATTGTGTTGCAAAAGAAGTAATACTACCTGCAATGAAGGGGGCACATCAGTTACTCTTTTCACAACATACTTTTTGTGCCAGAAATCCTGGATCTCTGAGCAGTGCCACTAAATGTGGAGCAAGAGCCCTCCTTCTCTCCACATCATCAATCATCTGACTGAGTAAGGAACCATCTCTGTAACACATCTAAGGTGTAGTAACAATGAGCCAGGAATGTATGTGATCGCTCCTGTGTTTTTGCATCATTGGAGCTTTTAAGGGTCAGCGCTATAATTTTATTCCATTCTGACTCGGTGAATGTCAGCCCCAAGGCCTCCTCCCACTTTGCCAAAAAAAAGGGGTGGTAGAGGATATCTACTCTGAATCAGTATGTTGTATAGTAGAAATATCATCCTACAGGAAAGGAACTCATCACAGCATTTTTTCAATGTCATTTAGATCTCTCCTTAAGCACATTTTTTGTGGGATCGATGATATGTAGTGAGATAGCTGGTGATGAGTAAGAGTCTGCAATGAATGTGTTTGTCCCTGTAGGAAGCAGGGTGTTGGTGTTCCCCTTGGGTGAAACCTAGTGTCTCACTCTGGGAAAAGTAGTTTCACTGTGCCTCTGTTGCCGGGAACACTGGGTTGTCCCACAGAAAGAGCATGGGAGGGTCGATAAAAGGTACCTTGTTCCTGTATGACACCAGACTGCCATAGTTGCCTCCACCAATGGGTGAGGCTTTGCTCTTCTCGCACCCTGCCAAAATGGGATGGCCGCCAGATCAAGCCCAGTGAGACAGTTTCAAGACCCACCCAGACCCTGGATCTATCTCCCACCGTCCAAGAGGTTATCCTGGAGAGGTGTGTTGCGAAGAAATACTTTTTCAGGTCAGGGAGGGCCAGTCCTCTTAATTTTAGCATTAGTAACGAATATGCCAGATGTGGGGACTTATTCTTCCATATGAACTTACAGATATACAACTGGAGCTTAATAAAAAACCTTCATGGTATTTTGATTGGTAGCATTTGTACCAGGTATAGGTAATTTTCACTGCATTTATTCTCACTATCCAAGATAAGTGGGTTTCCCCCCTATTGAAGGACTAGAGGGGCAGTTTATATAAAAAGGAGAAAATTAACTCCACAAGTTTGATCCAAGTTGGCTTGCAACCATATGCCTAGGTATTTCATGCTTGAAGTGCACTATCTAAAGGGGAACCCAGTGCAAAGAGGTACCATTGCCACCTCAGAGAGAGAGATATTGAGCATTTCCGATTTTGCATTAGTAACCTGTAAATTGGAGAGCTGTCCATGCACTAAATTCAGATAAATTTGCTGGAGACCACAAAGATAAGGTTGTCTGTGTAGGCTATGACAATGTGATGTTTTGGACAGAAATCTCTGGATGCCTGTGTTGGCCCTTATGGTTTTCGTCACAAGTTCCAGAGTGAGCGCAAACAGTAGAGGGGATAGTGAGGCATTCCTGTTGCGTCCCATTATGATTAGGGAAGGGTATGAGAGGGCTTGTATTCCCTACATGAACTAGGTTCCCGGCCCCAGTGTTAGAAAGACGTTCCAGTCCACCCTGCAAAAACACTTTCTCTGTTGACAGATGAAGACCCAGGACTGAAGGGTCGAGCACCCCATGGGAAATACTCTATGCTCGAATCTTGTTATCCCTAGCTTCTCTGCAAGTGAAGATCCTGACTGGTCTGGGTGTATGATGGCTGGTATAGATGGTAACAAGGTCATTGCAAAAACTTTAGTTTCAGATCTACATTTAATACCAAGGTCTTTAACTGGCACAGCGTTTTGTATCTCAGCCTTCCTTTCGGGAACTGAGAGAGGTGTGATTGAACAATCATTTAATACCCCTCCCAGTCTAGGGAGTAGTTTCAGAGTGAAAATCCTGTAGTACTAGAGGGTGAACCCAGCCAGGCCCAGGGATTTTCCTGATTTAATAGCCCTCCCGAGCTCCTCCATATTGTGGGTTTCCAATTCCTCTATTGCTTCTGCCAGAATGTTGCCTGAAATGGTCTGATCTTAGCCTTTCTTTCGGCTGTACCTCTCTCTTCCGTTTGGAGGTGGTACTTTCGCTATATATCTGGTTAGGTTTGTCCCATAATAAACGCGCAAGCATCCTCCCAACATATTTTCCCCTGGTCATAGAGCAGATGGCAGCAGCGGAGGAATGATCCCTTGATCTCTGATATATTAGGGTGTTCACCAGTTTGCATCTGAGTGCTAATAATTGTTGGTATATTTCCACTCCAGGGATGTCAAAAGCAAGCGATCAGTCTCGCTATATCTCCTTGTACAAGAACGTTTGCTCATTTTATGGAGCATAAAAGTTCCGATACATTGTGCAAGCAATGTATAATTGTTGAAACATTACTTATTAAAATTAAAGCAATAGGTATTCAGTTTAGAAACTGGCATTGCTTCTATGTTGGTTGAGTGACTTAATAGAAATAGGAGAATCCTATGCTCAGTTTTCTTGCTCTATCTCAAAATACCTACTTTACAGGCACCGATTACTCAAAAAGAAAGAAATATAAACAATGGATTAACCGATGTTGTAACCACAGCTGGTTCCCCTATTTACCACTAAAAAGTCTTAAAACATAGAATTTAGCAGGGCTGACCTTACAGATATCCCATAAAAATGTTGTCTGGCAATGAAGCCAGCATCGTCAAAATCTTGCCTGAGGAAGAATGGTCAGTTACAGAAGATGTCATAGAGAATGTGAATTTAAAATGTTACATTATTACAACACCCTCAAAGACAGGGTGGTGCTAAAGCTGGTACTCAGCAAATAGGTAAGTAGAAACCTAATTTCTCATTACAACATTAAAATATATCAATGATCGTTAAGTCTGTAATATGCATGTTCCATGGTGTGCAATTACACAATAATTAAAAATAATTAGATAAACTGCCTAATGTCACCTACTAATATTTCATAACCACAACCAATAACATGAGCAACTGCTGGTTACAATAGTTCTTGCTGTTGCAATCAGAGTTCAAATAAGTAAAATAAATTGGAACCATTACTTCTCTGGAAATCACGCCACTAAAACCATTGACAATCACCTATAAATTGTGGTAATCATTTTACATGACACTCTAAATTAAATATTTAGCAAATGGCATAATAAAGTGTAGTCCATGAACAAACTGTAAAAGAGTTCCTAATGATAGAAATATGGTTTCATTTCGCTCTTCTCTGCATGCTATTTCCATGCTGCCTGGCAAGGTGCAAAAGGCAGATCTTGAAACAATCATAGTCAGGGATCTTAGATGAAGAAAGGCTGTAGTAGGTTAAAGATGTGTGAATTTCAATATTTAATTTTATTTTTCACATCTCACAAACACACATTTGTTAAATACAAATACATAATACTCATGGGAAAGAACAGTACTCCCTTGAAAAGCAAAAAGAAAAAACATTGGGAAACGGATACTCCCACTTCTGTTCATTGGTTTAGTTTAATTAATGAAAATGCCAGGTCGCGGTTACATTATGTTAGCATTGCAGAAATTAAAATTATGGATTTATGACAATACACGGATCTTAGATGAAGAAAGGCTGTAGTAGGTTAAAGATGTGTGAATTTCAATATTTAATTTTATTTTTCACATCTCACAAACACACATTTGTTAAATACAAATACATAATACTCATGGGAAAGAACAGTACTCCCTTGAAAAGCAAAAAGAAAACATTGGGAAACGGATACTCCCACTTCTGTTCATTGGTTTAGTTTAATTAATGAAAATGCCAGGTTGCGGTTACATTATGTTAGCATTGCAGAAATTAAAATTATGGATGTATGACAATACATGTATGTATGCAGTAGAAATCTTTGTAACACAAACAAAACACCAGGCATTAACGGAGAAATCTCTGTCACTCCCTATGTAAGAAAAAAAACTGAACCATTGTGCCGTAAATACGGATGTTTTTAATATATATGTTAAATTTTGTATCAGCAATACATTAAATAAAATGAGGGGTTTGACATACAATGCTTCATTAATCAATGTTCACTTCAATTTCACTGACATGGCATGGTGAGTAAGTCATAGATAAAGACATTACAGAATCTGGTCTGGTAACACTTTCAATAAGCGAGGTGTATATAGCTCTATGTATCTAGTTTATCTTGAAATGTATAATGGAAACAATGAATAAAATAGCATTTAAATAACTATAAGGTAAAAAAATGACAATTGCTTTGGCAGTAAAGCATCTCCAGATGTTGTCCATTACTATCGCACGATTTAGCCATCAGAATGAATGAAGCCTGTGACATCAGTTCCAGTGAGTTATCCTGTCCCCCTCGGGTATTATACTCCAATTTGGGGACTGGACACCACGGACAAGCCAATTGAAGTCATCCACCAGGTCCCACATGTTCTTGGCCTGATCCAGCCCAGAGACCTGGTAGTCCTTGTGGATGTTCTCGTAGCTCCAGGTGAAGGGTGCGAAGTGCAGGTCAGTGCAGTCCTCTATGATGGCCTTGCAGGTGACATGCAGGTAGAAGCGGCAGTCGGAGGAGCTGTGGGTGCGCAGTTGCTGGCAGGGGAAGGTGAACAGGCAGCCGGTGCAGCTATCCACAAACACGGAGGAGGAGACGGGCCCGCAGAGCAGCCTGCAGCCGTGCAGCCCCCGGACATGGAGGGTGCCAGGGCAGCCGCGCAGGGTGATGGTGCAGTCTCTCAGGTCGCTCAGCAGCACGTCCTTCTGCCGGATCTCCGCCGCCTCCATGAACAGCACCTGGGAGGACAGGCCTTGGAAGCCGCACAGTGCCGGAGCAGGCTCCTGGGGCCGGGGTTTAACGGCGGCCGGCCTGGGGGTGCCTGTCCCGGGGGCCGGAGCGCCCGAGCCCGCTGGGGCCTGGTCCTTCTTGCGGGATTTGAAGGCGAATTTCTTCTTGGGCTGCAGGGCCTGCCGCTTGTCCTCCAGGGCCTCCTGCAGCCGGCTGACGGCCTCCTGGGCCTGGCGGATGTGGTAGGGCGGCAGGAACATCGTGCTGTCATTCAGCAGCTTCTGGAGGCCCTGCAGGCGGCCGGCCACCTCCTCCAGCAGGCCGGGCTCCGAGCCGGACAGCAGCTCCTCGATGGCCGCCTTCTCGGGGCCGAAAGTGGCGCCGAAATGGGCGCTCTGCTCCTCCGGCACCGCCTGCCCATCCTTCTGCCGCTTCCTCTGCTCTAACTCCCGCTGCCGCTCCTGGTCCCTCCGCTGCAGCCTCTCGGGAAGCCGGCCTGTGCCCTCCGGCAGAGCCCCGTCTGCTTCCATAGCGCGAGCTGTTCGTTTCTATGGAGATACCGGTGGCAGCGGCGAGCCAGTCACTTCCGGCCGCTGTGGGTGACGTTGACAGGTCACGTGACAAAGTCGCGCTGGTACACACTGCAGCTAACGCCTGGATACTGGGGGAGCGACGAGAAGGTTTGCCCCATAACGTCATCAAAGTGCCCCACCTAGTAACCCGGAAGAGGCTGCGCTGAGTGTAGTACCCACGTGGGTAAGAGAGCAAAGCAGTCTACACAGAGAACTGAGAAACCGAGCTTTATTAGGGCACCGACATGGGGAAGAGAAGAAAACAGAAGCTGGCGGATGATATCAGCGCCCTGACCAAAAAGCAGAAAAAACACTTGAAAGAGTTTGGGGAGCAGCACCCTTTCTATGATGAGTAAGTCACAGCTGAAGGGACTGCACTCTTGAGATGAGTTTGGAAAATTACAGTAAAAAGCACCAAGTTATTACTTCATCGAGTCTCAATCTGTTCCTGCTCTACCTGTATGTGAACTAAATTACATTGAGGGATGTTTCTGATATAACATTATAACCAGGGGTCAAGTCCTGGCGGAAAGTGTGGGAACTCACCCAAGACCCACAATTATACGCTCGTATGCATTTATATAGCCGGGTGAAGGGGTGACAGTGTATGGGGGCTGATTGGGGATGGTGATATTGTATGGAAGGGGTGTCTGTGTTAGGGGGCTGTGACAGGGTTTGTGGGGGTTAAGGGGACTGTGAGTGGGTAAGGGGGCTCACAGACAGACATTTCCCACCAACACACAGATTATTTTTTAATTTAAATCCACCCAGCCTTTCTACTTTTGCCCAGCCACCTACACTGCACAGTTGCTTGAAACGCGTAAGAACGTATTTTTCCCAAGCCCTTGCATTATTAACCCCTTAAGGACTCACGACGTGTGACATGTCATGATTCTCTTTTATTCCAGAAGCTTGGTCCTTAAGGGGTTAAAGCATCCCTTGTTTGCAATCTGCACATAATAAACCTTATTTTATTTTTTGCAGTGATTGTTGTCATTATTTATATAATGCCAACATATTCCACAGCACTTTAAAATCATAGAATGGGGATAATTGACAACAAGTAGTTTAGATTCAAAATATTAACAGAGATAAGATAGTGATTCGTTTTGGCAAGTGTGACTTTCAATTTATGAATGAGTATATTTTCATGTTATGTGTTGCATGACATTATGCGCAATTATTTTAATTGTTAGCTGATGTACTACTAATGGAGATCAAGAGATATCCAAACAGTATAAACTATTGCATAATGTTATCTCTCATGTTGTTAAAAGGGTATATAATCTGTTAAAATCATTTAGACCGTAAAGATTAAAAACCCCTTCGGTCACTTACCTGGGTCCAGCACCTATGTCCTTCGGTGCTGGCTCAGATCCACCTCCGCTCCTCCTAAAGCACTAATGCGTATGTGCGGCAATAGCCGAGCTCTCATCAGGATTTCCCCATAGGAAAGCTTTACTGTATACAATATGCACAGCGTGAGGACAGCCAGTGTCAGTTAGGTGACCAAAAGTCGCCGAACAGCCGGGAAATTTTTTAAATTAAATAACTGCAGTAATTTTTTTTTTTTTTTTTCATATCCGTTGTATCAACAGATTAGAAATCTTATATTTGTTACGTAAATTAATTTCCACAGCACATTTCACATTCATGAACTTTTATTGTCAATTTATTTGGATTGCTAAATAGTTTTTCTCTGTGTGTGTGTTTTAATATATTAACATTTATATACCCTTTTTGTTTTTATTTATTTTTTATTGCAGAGTTTCAAAAAAAGCAGAAAAGACTCAGCTTGTTGAACTGGTAAGTTCAATTTGTGTGTGTGTGTATACTAACAATTTCAGTTGTCCAAGCCTCAATAAAGTGAAATGGAAACAGTCAACTTTGTTTAGCTCTGTTTGATAAACGAAGTAATTTGCTATTTTACTGACTGCATCTACCATGCAGACCTTGTTGGCACTGTAGGAATGAATTATAAAAATGTGTATCTACTTTCATTTCTGTGCAGCCTGAGCACTCTGAGGATGAGTCTAGTTCAATTAGTGAGTCAGAAAGTGAACCGGAAACTGTGAATATGTATCATAAGCTACTTGCAACATTAAAAAGTGTATCTGATGAGGAGGCTGATGACGATGAGGAGGAGGATGAAGAAGGAAGAATTGAAGAAGATGTAGAAGGAAATGATGGAGCAGAGTCTGAAGAGGAAAATCAAAATAGTGAAGTGGAAAGTGATGGTGAAGATGAATTTGTGGAAGACGATAATGCAGAAGAAAATGGTAAGCTCACTTATGTTGATGCAAATCACGAACTCATTTAAAATCTGTTTTAAAGAGAATGTTAAACAAAAACCAAACTAAAGTTTATGAAATATGTTGATGAAATATTGGATTGTAAGAATGCAAGATTTATCCGGCCAAATCATATTTTTTCCCCTTTTTAGATCTTTTGGAAATTGTGAATGTTTGTAAATTGTCTGTATATCATTGCATGCTTTAGTTTTTGAACAAGACTGTCATTTATGTATGTACACTTTTCTTATGTTCACTTTTCTTATGTTCTTAGACCAAGGCACAGAAAGTTTAGAAAAAGGGGAGGAAAAGGCAACGGATCCTGGGGATCCAGCCCAAGAAGGAGAGGAATTCACAGATGTAAAGAATGAATTAAAATTCAGTTTAGAAGGAAATTACATAGAAGATGAAGATCACAAAAATGAGTCTGTATTTCCCTGCAAGACTGCCTCAGAAGGTACGCATCTGAACATGTGACACGGTACTGGGTGACCAGGCCAAACTATGTAAACATTGGAGGAGGTGGGACTGCTGGCCCCAGATTGTAGTTGCTAAGAATTTAATTGTCTGTTCAAGCAAAAGTTTGGTTTAAATGTGTTTGTTGTTTTTTTCCAATAACAATTTTTGTGACCACAGTAATAGTGATCTTTTTTTAAAATGTATTTTTCTTCCATTTGTAAGATCCATTTATAAAGCATGTTTACAGAGAAATGGAAGACGATGAAGTTGAACAAATAACAACAAGCAATAAAACAAGTGTGTCATTGAAGGTACTTATTTAACCCTAAAGTGTGCATTGTTAAAAACATGCTTTTACCTCCATTCATATAATTACATTTCTGTAATCCGATACATGATCATCATTTTATTTACTGTTCTCATTTATACCACCTGATAAAGTTAGAATGGGAATGCCGATTTTGTGTTTATCTGTTAATGTTTACGTTACATGTGCCTTAGACTAAGCATATTTGGCTATTTGTGAAAGATCTTGGAAGCCTAAAATGCATTTAGATTTGGGGTTCATCGTGTTATCATTTGTCCTACTGAGGTTTAAACTTGTACCTGCTGTCATCATATATTGATCTTTGCTATGGAGGAATTACATGTTTTAAATTCAATGAGTAGCTTGCACTTTGTTTCATGTCCGTCAGATCCATAAGCTGCCAAGCATGTATTATAATGCAGTTATATATTCCATCTTGGTGTGAAATAACCATTTAAAAGTGTGATCATTAAAGTCTAGATAATGGTAGGGATTGATGATGATGATAGTAATTGAATCACATTCACTTTTCTCAGCCTGCAGTGCTTGCCTGTAGCATGTTTTGCTCTGGTTCCTTTTTAAGTGAATCCTTTCTGTATTCAGCTCCATGTAATATCCACATATTATGGGCAAAATAGAGTGGAAAGAATCATGGGACAGCTCTGTGTGAAAAGTTCCCCCACCAAAATTGAAGATCACATGCTTACACTTTATGCTTACTTAAACCTATCTCTATGTGCTTTGCCCTGCTGTATATACCAATAGCAGGGTTTAACCTTCCTTTTTATGTTCTGGGTAAAGCCACCTATTCCCTCTCCCTACTAGTGTACATATTGTTGCCTTACAGGCATTCTTTAACCCAATTTAATGATTTGGATTTATTATTTCTTTTTATGTCGTAGTTCACTGGCTTAGATACGGAGTTACTGTGCATGTGGCCATATTCTAATCAGATGACCATTGTTTATGCAGAGTGTTAAGAGAGGTACTACCATTGAAATGAGCAACTCACCCGAGATATGAGCTCCACTTTCTGCCATTGTGAGCATCCTATTTGTAACATATAAAACTATTCCTGCAACTGATATTTTAGCAATGCCTGATCACATCACAAGAAGCTTCTCCATGATTTGAGTTGATTGCATCCTTATTAAGTGCGCATGCTTGGAAACTGTCAGGATGGTAGGATATCAGGATAATGAATTTACATAATTTGGTTGATGTTTATAACCCGCACTTGCCTAAAAAACAATAGTGCGTATACCCAAAGTGCAATAAAACACACAAAGTCACGTCAAAGTGTCACAGAAAATATTGTAAAACCGGTTACTTCTCCCTGGACATCCCCAGTCCTGATATATACTAAGACCATATACTATTATATAGAGATACAGCAAACCTACAAGGAATAAAAGTTACATTGTATTGCACTGTAACAATTACAGCTCAATTAGTGCAAATTAATTTCACTCACATGTAAAAGATGAATTAAAGTCTATGGATGCACATCAATACAAACTCTTTGCAGTCAAGATAAAAATGTCTTGTAATGGATGAACATCAGCACTCATTGTTTCCTGTATTGCTATAAATTAATTGGGAGTAGAATAAAAGTGCATAACTCTCACTCTTCAATAAAACACACACACATTTATTGCACATAACGTACTATAAAATTCACAATAACATCGTTAGACAAATCGTGTTCCAAATCCATCTCGCCATACGTATTTTGCCATAGCAAAACGTCTTCAGTGACAAAACATGAATGGCGAGGCGGAGTTTGAAAACACATTATCCGGTGATGATTTTTATTTTTTTTGGTATGTTGTGAATTACTATACTAAGTTATGTGCAATAAATAGAAGTGAGTGGTATGCAATATTAATTATCCCCCATTTAATTTATTGTAATATGGGGAAGCGTGACTTCTGATGTTTGTTCATTAAAAATTATTTTTATCCTGACTGCAAAGAGCTTATATTCATTCCGCTTTCATGCGCAAGTGAACTCATTTTCATCAATTGAGCTTTTAAGCAACCCTGTCATATCACAAATGAGAATTTCATAAAGATAATATCTCAATCAAATGCTCACATTGACTATGTCAGAATGTCACAGAAATTCCAAAAGATATCATAAGAGAAAGTGGGTGCCTGACAAAACTTGACTAAAGGCGGAGCTACAACCATCAAGTTTTATCACTTTCCCCACCAGTCACTAATGGAGGAAAAAGGCATTGCCTATGGAGGCCATGTGGGATCCTCCAAAGACCTCAGTGTTGTACTTTAATGCATATGTGGGGTTACAGCATTAACGTGGGCTCCTGGCAGATGAAGAGGACCCCACCGCATGAAGATAGCGGCGGCTGCAAGGGACAGCTTTAGGTAAGTAAAACTTACCTTCCCTTGCACCCCGGGGCCACCATACTACAAGCGGCAATATCACTGTCAGGGTTCTTTGCAAAGACGCCATACGGTGACCAAACTCTCTTAATTGTTACAGTGCTATGCAAAGTAACTTATGTTGCTTGCAGGTTTGATATATATTGATGTTTTCAAATTGTCTGTCACATTCGTTAAAATTATAAGTGTGAATATACCTCTTCAGTGTGATAATATTACTATTTGTGTATTCATATATTTGCTATAAGTTCTTGTTTCTTTCATTGTAGTGGCCAGTGCTGGGTCAATTGAACTTTTCATCTAAATTTGAGAAGGCTCAGCCTCCGAAGTCTGAGAAAGAAACGGATTTAAAAAAACTCCATCTCCAAAAGCCCCTGGATATCACATGGCCTGAAGTGAACAGCACATTTAATCTGTCCCAGGGCGATCAGAACTTTACCTCTCTACAGAAAGAGCTTTTCACCATCATGAATTCCTACAAAGACTTGTTTTATCCCTCCAGAACAGCCACAGTCCAAGGGGAGGAGATCCGACATGTGTACTGTCTGCATGCACTGAACCATGCGCTTAAAGCCAATGCACAGGTTCTGAACAACAATAGCAGAATGAGGGATGGCAATACCCATGTGGATGACGAAGACTTTCGAGACCAAGGTCTCACCAGACCCAAGGTATTCTCGCCTCTATAGCTCAATGCGCAACATCATAATCTTATGTATTATTTCTCGAGTCATTAGCTGCCTGCCTATTTTCCTTGCACAAGATCTTCTTACCTTTAAAGAGGAACCGAACCGACCCTTCCAGAGAAGCAGCAGTATGTGGGTATGGCCATATGAGAGTTGATTCATTTACACACGTTTCTCTGAAAAGGCAGCGTTTACATTAAAACGCCTGCAGGGACATGATGTACACACCAGAAAAAAAACGACATTATTAGGTGTTCATAGCATCCCTTTAAAGTAAAGCAAGTGACAGGTCCCTCTTTAAAGTGGATCTGTCACTTTTAAAAAAAATTTGTTTTATGCTATCAACCTGTCCCAAATCTCCCCCTCCTCACCCCCTTTTTTATTTCTTTTAAAATATGCTTAAGTTCATAGTTATACATAAGGAAAAAGAGAGACTTTTTCTTCTTTATAGCTGGATGGTTGACAAAGTGTGGGGCTTTAGTAAAGCTCCAGTGCCTTTGTGAACTTTTTCCCAGAGTCCTTTCAGTGCCGCGGCACGTCCTGTAACCACGACATCACTGCTCTCTCTGCCACTACTCCTCGCCCGGCTATGGGTATAGTATTCTAGTTTTGGGCACCGCTATCTTCAATTCTTGATGGCGATGCCTAGATTAAAGACCCGGTGGGACTGTCACGCCGTAAAACTCCGTAAATCTGGTCCCAGGCTCTGAAAATGATTGGGGAGCATTAGGGGGAAAATATGCTGCAAATATGAAGCCGAGAACTTCACATTTGGAAAGCGTTACAGCCTTTTCTATTGAAACATATTGATACAAAATTGTATACTTTCTTACCCTAGCAGGCTTCGGGTTATTTTTTATATTCTTAATCCAAGTTAATCTTAAAATATACTCTATTAATTGCAAAAATAATAAACAAACGTTAATCGCTCTAAGGAAAAAGCAAAAAACGTGATTTGCTTAAAGGGGAGCTGAAACGGCTCAAGATTGCCTTTTCCAATTATGAGGAGGAACAGTAAAAATACCTGTAACCACTCCTAACTAGATGTAGGATACAATATCCACTAATGAACAGTTACAAATTTACCACTTGAAGGTTCAGAGCTAACTGTGATTACAAAATAACTGCAGAGTCTGAGAGTCAAACCTCTAAAGTTAAATAAATTGCAGATAGGTGGACTCTAATTTGGACATTTGGACATTTTTTCTACACAGTTATAGCAGGGGGTCATCCTATTTCTTCTTCTCTAAAATGTATTTTGTTCATTATAATTACACCTATAGAGTGAGTTCGCTAGTTTACTCCATTTAAAAAAAAAAGTTTTTGAGACGATAGAGCTTGCAGCTACCATCTCTAGACTATTATTAATAAGGAGAAAGTGGTTAGGGTGATCAATCCCTGTTAGATAGACATTATTAGAGTCCACCTATCTGCAATTTATTTAACTTTAGAGGTTTGACTCTCAATGTAATATATCTCAGACTCTGCAGTTATTTTGTAATCACAGTTAGCTCTGAACCTTCAAGTGTTAAATTTGTAACTGTTCATTAGTGGATATTGTATCCTACATCTAGTTAGGACTGGTTACAGGTATTTTCACCCCCTTCTAAGGTCTCAATTACGCTTTACTGTTCCTCCTCATAATTGGATAAGGCAATCTTGAACTGTTTCAGCTCCCCTCTAGGCAACTCACGATTTTTGCTTTTTCCTTAGAGTGATTAACATTTGTTTGTTTATTATTTGTGTATTTTTGCAAGTAATAAAGTATATTTTAAGATTAACTTGGATTAAGACTCTGAGATATCCTTCCTATGATCTTGGGACTTTTCTTTGGAATCCCTGATCATACTCTTTGTTTACTTAATGTTTAGTTAGGGTTACCCACTATTTGGATATCCAGAAGAGAGAGATAGAGATATATATATATATATATATATACACATACATATACACACGCGCCTATTTTAGGGGTCTGTTTTTTGTTTGTTTCTATTTTTGATATTCTCTATCTGTATAGCTTGATTCTATGTAAATAATTGTTGTAGCGTTCTAATGCGAGGCTTGGCACTTTGTTCTCTATTGTTTTTAGGTTCTTATCGTAGTGCCGTTCAGAGAATCCGCATTACGCGTGGTCCAGATCCTGATCAGTCTCATGGAAGTTGTTGGTAGAAAGGTGGATGTGAGTAACAAGAAGAGATTCAAAGACGAATTTGGCTCTGCCCCTGAAGACCGACCTCCAAACCTGAAGAGACCAGAGGATTATGAGGCAGTTTTTGCAGGAAACATTGATGACCATTTTAGGATAGGTGGGTTTTATTAATTAATTGTAGAATGGTTAAATTGCTTTCAAGGCTTCCTGTTACCTGTACACTGAATTGTCTAGCAGCATGATCTGTCAATGTTACCAAACCAAGTAAGCATTATTCAAACACGTTTCTGATCCAATACCTTAACGAATCCATGAAGATATTGTAGTCATTAATGTTTTCTGTTTAGAAAATCTAATAAAGAGAAAAGATTTACCTTTCTTTGCTTTAATAGGGTTTTTGCTCCTCTAACAAACTGATGTACAGCTCTCTGTTTGCATATTTGCTTATTGCATTCATGGAGTGCTAACATTAATCTCAGCTTTACTGCACAAGCAATGGCAATCAGCTGGTAAGCTGTTGGGCAAAATGATGAATACAAGAAACAAGACATGTCTCAAGGTTGACAGCGCATTTAATGAGCCGTCCCTTATGCTGCCAAAGACGATGTACATATTGTAAATGGCAGGAGATTTTGTTTCGTTCACATTTTTGCAGGCGATGCAAACACTTGTGTTATCATGTTATTGGGGTATTGGTACCTTTTTATAGATGTTAATATCATGAGATCTTTTGACAGAGAATGTTATTGAAAGAAAATCTATTATAGAATGATACTTGCGTGAGTCTGCAGATTTTTTTTATTTTTTTTATGTGCATATTTATTAAGTCTACATACGCAACTTTATGCATAGGAATATCTGTGTACACCTCCTTATAATACATGTTTATTTTATAGATGAAAGAAGGAAGAGGGAAGTCTGAACTAATGTTTTATCTAAGCAACATATTAACTAAGTGCCAATCACACAGTCCTTTGTGTTGCAGCGGTTCTATGGACTTAAGAACAGAATTTGGCACCAATACAAACCTTTATTTTATTCATTGCAGAGAGCCATACAGTGGATTACATGATTAGTCTGCAGCCTGCCTTAGCAGTTTCTAGAACTCACTTTTTTTTTCATTTGAATTTTTTTTATTATTTCTTCATCCATAATAGAACAGCATGGGAAGGGGTACAGAAGAAAGAACGAGGGGTGAGCGTAACTCACGGTTACACAATAAGTATCTACTGTGACAGGTTGCACAAATTGGTACATGGCATATAGATGGTTACTTTGAACTCACTCTTTTTTTACTAGTAGTCTAGATACATCTAAACATTAGGCTTCAGATCCTTACAGATAACACACAAATACTTTGTATCCTCTCTCCTTTACAGTGGTAATGTATCAAATAAAAGTATATGGAAGCAATGTGCATTATTCTGCTGCTCTAAAATGACCTTGGTTTTGTCTTCTTTTTATTAAGGTGTTGCCATATTACAGAAGAGCATGCGACTATACTCCCCTTTCTATTCCTCTGACATCATCATTGCCTCTCCTCTGGGCCTGCGTACTGTCATTGGTTCAGAGGGCGAGAAGAAAAGAGACTTTGATTTTCTGTCTTCCATAGAGGTTCTTGTTATTGATCAGGTCGATATTTATCTGATGCAGAATTGGGAGCACATGCTGGTAAGTGTTAGATATTGTTACATAATCCAAATGTAGCAAGCTTGCGAACTCTGGGTCCCTGGATGGTTACTTCACATTTCTTAATATTTCCTTTATATGATATTGGTAAGGCTAAACTCTTATTTGCAGATTTTCTTTGGTGATTTTGTTATTTTATTTTTTTGGTGTGTGCTTTTAATGTTTTATCGTGAATTGAAGAAATGCATCAAGTTTTGCTTACTTGTTCCAATCTTTTTTTCCCAGAATTTGGTTTGTACATTAAAAGCTTCTCCACAATAATTGCTAATAGTGTTTTCAAAGATGGAAGAAGCAAGTTGACATAATATCATATATATGTTTCCTGATCACATTTTCTTACTTTTTTAAAGCACTTGATGAATCACCTTAATCTCCAACCAACGGAGTCTCATGGCGTTGATTTCTCCCGCGTTCGCATGTGGAACCTCAACAACTGGGCAAAATACTATCGTCAGACACTCCTGTTCAGCGCACTGCAAGAGCCGCAGATAAACTCCATATTTAACAAGCATTGCTTCAATTACAGTGGTCAGGTGAGGTATACAGTAAGCTGTTGTGTGGCTACGTACAGCATCTTTTTCTGGCAGTGTGCATCTATCGTGAAAAAGGATTTCGCTAAATGTTAAAGGGCATAAATATGCTAGCAAATGTGCTTACTTTGCCGATGAGTCAGTGATTGAGCAAAACTTTGGGGGAAATCTAGAAAAGTGGGATAAGATCTCAAAAGTGGAAACCAATTGGAATTTCTGGTTAATTCTGCTGGTTTCCATGGCAACTTTGCTCCACGTTTCTCTTTGTGACAGTTGTATAATATGTTTCCATGGATCCAACCTGACTTTTTATCTGGAAAAGTACTTTACAGATGTATGAATGACAGGAATAAGTTTTGCTTTAATGCCTAGACCCTCCATCATCAAGGGAGGGCCCAGGTGGGTGCACCTGTTTACCTTGTTCTCTTCTCCCCATAGGTAGCTGTAAGAAATATGCCAGTGATTGGTTCCATTTCTCAGGTTGTGGTACAGCTTCCACATGTCTTCCAGAGGCTTGAGGCAAACAGTTTACTTTCTGTGATCGATGCCAGGTAATCTGCAGTTAACATCCTAGTGAACAACAGTACTATAAATATCTTTTCAGTCAAGTGAACATGTCTGCCTTAAAGGACCACTATAGTGCCAGGAAAACACTTGTTTTCCTGGCACTATAGTGCCCTGAGGGTGCCCCCACCCTCAGGGTCCCCCTCCCGGCCGGCTCTGGAAGGGGGAAAGGGGTAAAAACTTACCTTTTTCCAGCGTTGTGCGGAGAGCTCTCCTCCTCCGATCCTCCTTCTCTCCTCCCCGTCGGCTGAATGCGCATGCGCGGCAAGAGCTGCACGCGCATTCAGCCGGTCACATAGGAAAGCATTATCAATGCTTTCCTATGGACGCTGGCGTGCTCTCACTGTGAAAATCACAGTGAGAAGCACGCAAGCGCCTCTAGCGGCTGTCAGTGAGACAGCCGCTAAAGGAAATAGGGGAAGGCTTAACCCATTCATAAACATAGCAGTTTCTCTGAAACTGCTATGTTTATAAAAAAATGGGTTAACCCTAGCTGGACCAGGCACCCAGACCACTTCATTGAGCTGAAGTGGTCTGGGTGCCTATAGTGGTCCTTTAAGTTCACCTTCAGCCTCTACATTGTGGTGACAAAAAAAAATCAGCAAATCTGTAGCTTAAATAATTCTTCTCACCCAACATGGGCTTCGATTTAATTCTTTTGGACAAGCTTTATAAATGATCACAATCTGTTAAATCATTTGAAAAGTTTTTTTTTTTTTTTATCTCCAAAAAGAAATCCATAGACTTGAATGGTGAGATCTGTAGATACATCCGTTTGCATCGCCACAACAACAAATACAGGCGTTACATCACATACTCTGATATGGCAGTCAAGAAAGCACATTTGGTTTACATAATACCTAAGAAGATCATGAGCTTAGCTAACTTATGGCTCTTACATCATCAGAAACAGGAATGTAGAATACCAAGTAATTTCTTTTCTTGACAATGGGTCAAACACATTCCCGCCAAAGCTGGATACATGTGCACATGGATGCTATGTGTCAAACCAGGGTTAGCTCCACATCCCTGGCCTAGGTACCCTATTCCTTAAGTTCACATCCCATAGGAACATGGGACGCTGCTTCTCCTGATCTAGGTGCGCTGTAGGCGGTACCATACTAAGTCCGGCCCCCTACCCTACGAGAAAGGGTCGGGGCGACGAACCACAGAAAAGGTTAAGAAACATGAGTAGAGGGGGGGCGGGGCCTGACAGCCAAGATGGCCGGCAGCACTTTCCCAGAGCTCCAGCAGTAATGAGCAAAAACTGAATCGACACCCAAAGAAGCTCGGGCTGACCGGAGGATGAAGCAGAAACAAGCAGGGACCATAGGGAAACCCGTCCCTTATAAATACGCCAAGATACTGCTCTGTCCGACCATGCGGCCTAGCCCTGAGTGGGGCCATGTGTATGGGGGAGGCGGCCGATCCCTCGGCACAGAACAGGCACCCAATGGCAGGCTCACAACAGCCCTGTTACCCCCCCCCCCTGGACCGGTGGGGGTTATCCCGGTCCCCGCGGGGGTCACTTACTGCCACACAGCCGACTGAATCCATACAGCCACAGAAAGCACCAAAGTCAGCAGCCACAGTCTCACCCACACGACCCTGGGAGAGCACAGAGAGTCCCACTAACTGCCTCACTGAGCAAGCAGACTTCTCCGCAAGGCTGGACGCGATATTCAACGAGTTCTGGAGAAAACTGGCCCAGCGTCAAAGGCAGCAAGCGAAACCTAAGCAAGACGACAGCCTACCTCAAAGTCCACGAGGTAGACGCAAAATGGCCGCTGCGCCTGGCCTCCGGCTCCCTCACAGCCATCCTCACCGCTCAACTCCCCGTGTCAAACAGCGGACTGTAGCAGGGATCGCCTGGTCCCAATCTGGACTGGGAAGCCACAAAAGAAAGCGCCCTACCCACCGCCCATACACCCAAAAGGTCATCCGGGCACCGGTGTTCCCAAGGGCCCACGATCCTACCGCACATCGCGGGGGGACCCATAGACACAGGGGAATGACTCCCGTCTCAGCCTGGGCTGGGGGAGCGAAGCAGCCGCAGCTCTATCACCACGGAACCACTCGACGCCAGCGGCTATACCAATCCAAGCGGAGCGCCAAGACGGCAGGAGGACTAAACTTACCTAAACCGGTACCATCACTACCATCGACGGGGATCGGCTGATCCTGACACCGGACTCAAAGTTAGACCTCAGTGCCACCTGCCATGGACACTATGAGCTAGGATATGTACACTGAGGGCCCATCTCCTTCACACTCACACCTGATCTTATTCTCTAGCATACCGCAGCCTTAATGTTTATGTGCCAGTCAAGTTGTTCCAGCATGCCAGTTGATGCTCTTACCGGTATCATGTAATGAATCATAGGTCCTGTTGTAAGAATGTTTTGCCTCTTAGTTAACAAGCCAGAATGACCCAGATATGGAGGTTGTCTAATTTCTAGCTCACAAGGCACACATTAATATAACCCCAATGTAAAATCTGCCGTACCCTCACGAATGTCACCCAGCGGCCACTAAGCTACAGCATTAATAATTATAGTTTGGCAAACTACGAGACTTCTTCCTTGACAGGGTTATTGTCAGCCTACTCAATATGTTTAAATTGTGTTAACTGTCATCTCATTATCTGACAACACTTGAATCAGCTTGTTTAGTACTCTTAAAAAAAAGTGCGTTTATTTTTCTTATTTGCCGCAGGACTATGACTCCTGAAATGCTCATAATTATTGTCGTGTCGCATAGCCTGTATGAAAATAACCGACAATTGAATAGCTACTATGCCCTAGCCTGAAATAACGGCCAGTAACGTGTACTTATACCTCTCAATGTGTGCATTGTAGAAAGGGGCAGTGTTTTACTTTACTTTACGTTACTTTGTCATTCTTACCCTGCCACACATCTGTTCCCCCAAACGCACCCAGCTTGGTCTTAAGCACGATTAGTTAGGCATGTAGTAATAAACTACTGCCCTGCCACAATTATAACACACAAGCATTGCTTCTCCTGACATATAACTGTTATAATCCTCTCAATGTTTTGCTTATGGTTATCTACTTTATTATAAATACGCTACTCTTGTTAGTAATCCTATTGAATGCTTAAATAATATAAAATGAGGCAGTCCCTCATAACACCCAGCATCATTATCTTCATTTTATCTCACCGAATCTTACACGGACATATCAACTGTTTAGTTCAGCATGTTAAATATAAAAATTGTGCAAATTATCATGCCACTGTCTACCTTGTATGTAACTTGAAATACGCTGTTGTGGCGTTTGTGGATATGTTGTGACCATCTGCACATCAAAAATAAAGAATAAAAAAAAAAAAAAGAAACATGAGTAGAGTAGAGGAATGAAAGAAGTAAGAAGGAAAGTTAGTAAGTTAGTAAGTAAGTGAGTCGGGGCAATGAGGCACCACGGAGGAGGCAGCGGGAGAGGGGGGGAGCCAAGGACCGGGACAGGCCACTGCACTCATGCCCTCCCTCCACCCGTCGAGGCTCTCCCGCCCCTCCTAAGCCCCCAGCGGGCTCCCATCCCATTGAATAAGTGCTATCCTGTGGGAGAGTTGTCATTCAAACATTTGTCATAACTAAGCAGTTGCATTTTGGAGATGGTCTATATCTGGGGTACCCAAAAGGTAAAACCCCCAGATTTTTTAACACTACAGCTTCCATGATGCTTTGCCATTCGAAAGGCATGCAAAGCATCAAGGGAGTTGTAGTTCTACAACATCTGGGGATCTACTCTTTGGCCACCCCTGGTCTATGTAGTTTGTGCTGCTGGTTTGACAATTACACGTACATTCCATGAATAGTAAGTGGTGCATACCACATAATGATAACTTTCTCAATGGCTCCAAGAACAGATTCTCTATATTACAATGTTTCAGTTACAGAATATTTTGAGACTTTCTTTAAGATACAAGGGTTTATTCACTAAACGGTAATTCTTAATGAATTAAGAACCAAATATCAAAGCTGTGACAATGTCCGAATTAGAGAATTTTTCGAAATCTGCTATTTCGGCTTACATTTTTCCAAATGTTCTTCAGTTAATTAAAGCTTGCTCTTTAGTTAATTAGTTCAATAGTCCCCCCACCACCTAAAACAGAAACCTAATTTTATTTAGCATCCTTTTCAGAATACCTATTGATATTCTATATATTTAAAATGTTTCATAACATTTGATGCATGTTCACATTCGCTAGCAGTTCTGTCTAACCTTCTAATATATAATCTCATTCATTGTGCATCATATGTTTGTTTACCATGACGCAGAGTAGGCAGCTGTCTATAAACTGCAGGTATAAATGTGCATTTTTCCTTATTAGAGATAGTTTGATATAGTATTCATTTTGCAGCATGTTCAGTTTGTGGAGGGAGAGAGGGAGTTTTCACTCTTTTGTCTGTGTTCACTGGAACTTGCAAAAGTGAACTTCTTTATCACTTTATCTTTTTTTTTTTTTTTGTGGGGGCAGTTACGGCACCTGCCAATTCTGCTCCTACTTGCAATTTATTCTATTTTCAGATGTACTTAAAACCCCTGTAGAGCCATTTAAAATACTGACATTTTATTGCTATATTGCTTTACAATAAATACACATCACTTAAAGGGACACGATAAGCACCAAAGCAAATATTAGCTTAAGTGTTCTTGGTGTGTAGCTCATGCCTGTGCAGTCTAACTGCTTAGTTCTGTGCCATTTTTTTTTTATGCTCCCCTAGTCACACCTTCCCTGCATGTCACCTTCAGTCTCCCTACACATTTCCTGTAAAGTGAGATCTAACGTTTTAACTTCCTTTATTGAACAATCTGTTTAATTTAGAATTTCTTGTATCCTGCTCTGTTAATAGCCCTGTAGAGCTTGTAGCAGCCTCCTGTGTGTAATTAAAGTTCAATTTACAGCTACTTCATTAAGATAAAGTTGTTTTGGTGCTTAGAGTATTCTTTTAATCCCTTAAGGACCAAACTTCTGGAATAAAAGGGAATCATTACATGTCACACATGTCATGTGTCCTTAAGGGGTTAAACTAGGCATACCGCCTATAGGCCCATCACAGCTGCTTTTTTCACTTCTTGTAACTATACTTATCAAGTTAACACTTACTAACACAGTTATAGACATCTCCATCACACTGCTTGTATCCACACTTGTTTTACCTGTGATCTGTAGCTAAAGATGATGGGTAATCTTTACTTTCCTATCTTTGGAGAAGTTCTAAAATGTGAACTTTAAAGGTTTTTGTGCTCTCCTTGTTTACTTTTGAAAATGAATATAATTCTAACTTCATGCAGCCACTGACACATTGTATATAGTGTTTTTATATATATATATATATATATATATATATATATATATATATATATATATATATATATATATATATATATATATATATATATATATATAGCATGTATTGTGTGCTATGTAGGTACAGGCATACCCCACTTTTAAGTACACAATGGGACCAGAGCATGTATGTAAAACAAAAATTTACTTAAAGTGAAGCAATAACTTTTTTCACTTCCCAATGTATGTACTGCATTAACTGATACTGCAACTGCAGATTTCCAGTGATTTATTTAGTGATTTCCAGTGGGCTTTTATTCAGTTAAAACAAACAGTAAAAAATAATCTAATTCCAGATTGTGCTATTTATCTTTAATGTTTCACTAATCTAACAACCTTAAACTGGGAGGAAAAGTAAAATAAACCTGCCCACTGGGCCATTTTCTGTCAATACCGTGCCAATTAGTATTTGTTAGCAGCTTAGTTGCACACTTTGTTTAGAAACACCTCTTCATCACTTTAAGCATTTATGATTTAACTTTGAATCCTCAGAATTGTTGCTAAAGTCATAGTTATAGAAAATGGCAGGGTAAACCCTTTCACTGGATGGCAGCTGTTTGCATAATATGGACAATGTATGGGCAGAAAAAAAATATATATGTTCAGCTAGGAGTAGGCATTATAACTTTGAGATGTCAGAAGGTGTGAAAAGTTCTTGCCCCAATGACACTGAACTGAGCTGCTCCGGACGAGAATATAACCTTCCATTTACTGTTCGCTCGCAAACAGAAGAGGCGCGGGAATGTCTGTACTCGCGAGGCACCTTTAAGTACACTCGCAGGTATGTCTGTACTCGCGAGTGGATGTAAAGTGAGTGTATGTAAAGCAGGGTATGCCTGTACTTGACATAACTATGTATACTAAAATGTTTCCTCTGTACAACTAAAGAATCAGTGTTCGCATGCTACATTCTAATGTATAACTGACTGTGTGAAATTTTATTTTACTGTTCAAACTAACAACTTTCGAACTTGCTTATCAATCAGGTTTCAGTTCTTCACGGACAAAATCCTGCCTCAGTATCGGGATGCTATTATGTCACACACTCTCATCTATATCCCTTCGTACTTCGACTATGTTCGTCTCCGGAATTATTTCAAGAAGGAGGACCTGAGCTTCATGCATATCTGTGAATATACCGACAGATCTGGAATCTCCAGATCTCGCCAGTTCTTTATGAGAGGAGAGAAACAGTTCCTTCTGGTCACCGAAAGATTTCACTTTTATAAGAGGTGAGAAGAGCTTATATCCTCTGTGTGCCCGCAAGATAGTTACCTTGAGGCATATTATAGGAGAACACAAATGTAATTACCTTGTGAAAGTATTCATTTCACCTAAATATTTACTTGCCACCATATCATTTCTGCATGACTGATGTACATTTTAGAGAATAAACATTTATACATCTGCTAACATTCAAAGTGACCCAAATTTAAGATTTCAAATTATACATTTTAACACCTCGGCCATTCGAACATATTATTTTCGGAGCACCCATGCTAGTTAGAGTTATGCCAAGTAACATTAGTAATTCAGTGTTTTGAAGTGGTCATGGTATTGTAGTCTGTATGTGCTGTGTTTTACTTTGAATTGCTGCACATTCAGAGTTTAACCTCTTTGCTGCCAGTGGTGTATACCTCTAGCAGCGTCATAGAGTCGTTTATAGCTGGCCTGGAACAAGAGTTCTGGGCTAGCTAATGTCAATTGTGTGCATCTTTCTATACACAGAATTGAATTCATTGGCTGAGAGTGGGCAGCTGTTGTGGGGAGTCCAGGTATGAGGGCAAACCATTGCAAAATCAGTTAGCTTTAGTACTGGGAAACTAGGCCAGGGTAATCCTGGCATCATAACTTGTGTTTCATTTAGAGTAAATCAAGCACAAACAGTATCTTTGTTTTATTTCAGATATACACTGAAGGGTATCCGGAACCTTATCTTTTATGAACTGCCTACTTATCCACACTTCTACAGCGAGGTGTGTAACATGATGAAGTCATGGAAGCAAGGGGAGGAGGCTACCTTGACCTGCACGGTTCTGTACTCCAAGTATGATGCTCAGAGACTTGCTGCAGTGGTTGGCGCAGAGAGGACTGCACAAATGTTGCAGTCTAAGAAGAATGTACATCTTTTTGTTACTGGAGAAAGTAATTAAACCAAACCCGAAAAGAAAGGACTTTGAATCCACTTTTTTTGATTTTTTTACAAACATATTTGTATAGACATGTATAGTATGTTATGTGGAACTAACAGTTTAATAGGAAGCTACCTGGAGATAGTAGACACAACCTCATTTTCAGTATCTAAAATCTTCTAACAGTATGGACTCTGCTGTTCAGTGAAATTAACGTTTCAGTCATTTAAGAAGAAACAACGTTTAGTATAGGACTATAGATGCATATTGTTATTTACAATTGGCTGTACAATGGAGATCGGAGATTTCGCATTTTGGTATACCTTTAGAGTTTAAAGGTAATAGTGAAAATATAATTCTAAGTAAAGATAAGTTCTTTCAACTGGTATATAGACTTATCATTCCCATTGTATTGCTATTTGGGATAACGGTGACCCATTGTGTTAGTATATTGAGTAACAATTCTCATTGTTCTGGTATATGGGGTAACCATGTCCCATTCTGTTAATATCTGGAGTAGTTGTATCCCATTCTGCTAGAATATGGAGTAACTATACCCCATTTTGTTCGTAAATGGAGTAATTATGTCCAATTTTGCTACATGGGGCAACTATTCCCTCTTCATTCCAGTTTGACTGTTCAACATTCTGCTACTATGTAGCCAGACATCTGTCCTTGCAACTGGTATATGGACTTTAAATTCATCATCAGAATATGGAGTAGAAATTCACCGGTGGAAGAGCCAGAGCTGACAGTTATTTCGCCAACTGGAACAAGTGGTGCTGAATAACTGGTGCTATTTGTCACACAAGATGAAGCAGACTATATTGGTTAGTGCAATAAATTACCATTGTACTGTATAAGGACATAATTCTTGCTCTAGCTGGTTTTGTACATGTGGAATAAAGTTAGTATGACAGCTTAGTCCTTTTTATTTGAGAACCTTCTTATATTGTAGTCCATATTTATTTAGTTAAAGGGATCCTCTGGACTCCTAAAGCATTTCAGCTTGCTAAATATCTTTAAGTGTGAAGAGTGTGTCCTCTTTATTTCATTTTACAAATAGTGCAGCTTTTAATAGAAATTGGTAGTTATGTAAATTAATCTTGTTACACCCCCCGACTATAAATCAGACAACTGGTCCTGTTACTTCCTTGTTTGCTTAGCTCAGTGGAGCTAAACTCAAGAGGCAGCAATTTCCAAGAGCACGTGCCTTTGCAAAAACTTATCGTTGAGCTGCAAGGGACATAATGTGCAGCACCGACGTTCAGTGTGTCCACACTCTGCATGGAGATGCTGAACTTTCCTTCTAGAGATGCACTGATTTAATGCATCTCTACAAGGAGATGCTGATCGGCCAACACAGTGTTTGGATCTCACTCTGCCCCGCCAACTTGGCTGAGATCACAAGAATTGACAATCTCAGTTAATCCAATGCTTTCCCAAAAAATGCATTGAATGGCCAAGATTGTCAATTCTGATGATCTCAGCCAAGGAGGTGGTGCAGGGGCAGAGCTGTCGGCGGCAGACCCACGCGACTCTGCAATAAAGGTACGGTTTTTACAACTTTTTAAGGGGGCTATCTACCTAAATAGTATATTTAACACTATAGGGTCAGGAATACACATTTGTATTGCTGACCCTAGAGTGTTCCTCTAATGGAATAATTTCCCCTTAGATTCTAAGGCTTAGAAGAGGGCAAGTTTTATCAATATTAATATTTCCATTACCACCTAGCACTTTGAGGAGTAGAATTATTACATGCTTAGAACTCTGCGCCATTGACTACATTCATCAGAGCACACCAGAAATCATCCCTTACCCATCCATCCTAACAGTCTTAAACTAAATTTTCAAGCAATACTATAGCTCCCTGGAAGTCAACAAAAGTTATTCATTACATGTTTCTCCCATCACCCATGACAGCCTTTCATCACTCCAAACAACATTCTCTGGTCTTCCCCCTCTTCTCTAACCCACACCACCTTTTTATTGCATTACATTTTCATCTTATTTCTCAGGAAGAATGACCAACATTAGAGTCTCCTAAGATACTCTAGGTGTACCTCAACATTATTTCTCATCCACCACTGCTTTGCCAACATCTCTGACAACAAACTTCTTATAAAGCAATCTCACCCTGCCACCACCTCACTCCTATTACAGTGTTCAGTTCTTGGACATCTTCTTTTATGGATTCCTTTCTGACATTTCTCATTGTATTGCATGTTGTCACATTTCTTGCAAAAAATTAACCCTTCCCTTTTAAATTTTATTATTCTGTAGCGCTGTACAATGGGTGGACTAACAGACATGTATTTGTAACCAGACAACTGGACGTACAGGGAAAGAGAGGTGGAGGGCCTTGCTCAATGAGCTTACATTCTAGAGGGAGTGAGGTATGGTGACACAAAGATTTAACTATCTCCCAGTCACCCACAGCTCACAACCTTATTGTCATCACATATACTGTTATTTTCGGTCTGTTGCTTCCACCTTTTTAACCCTATGGAGGACTTTGTGATTTATAAAATTTTGCAGACCAATGTTAAATTAAAATTATGTAAAAATGTTCACTATTTGTATTTTTCACTTTATTCGTTCATAATTTATAAAAAATATATATATTTGGGAAATTAAACGCTTTAGACCATATAGTGTCCTTAATCTTGCCATATTTCACACAGGGTCTGAATTGTTAGAATAAAAGCAACAATACATAAATAAAAATGGTAAAAATACCTTGATTATAGGGATTTGTACTTCTTACCAATGTAGCTACCAGCCAGACTTCTTATCCCCCAGATTGCTGCTCAGTCCAATTCAGATTCAAGTGGGCTCTGGGCACATAACCGCTCAACTAGTAATCTCTTCATTGATTACTCTTCTCTAAACCTCTACCTTCTTATCTATGCAGACCTGCATAAACAAGGGTCTCTCCGTACTTCTTGTTTCTCATTAACCTACCTGGTTTGTCTATATTTCCTACAGATTTAATGCATACTGATAGTAAAGATCTGCTTCTCATAGTAGTACAGTATGGATGATTACTTTAACAATTGTTTATTCTTTGTGTGCATTATCCCTCATGATCAGGCTTCCCCAAACTCCGACCCTCCAGATGTTGCTGTACTACAGCTCCCATGATTCACAGCCTGTTTCATTCATAGAATCATGGGAGTTGTAGTTCAGCAACATCTGGAGGGCCGGAGTTTGGGAAAGCCTGCTCTAGATTGTAGGCTCGAGCACTAATTACTTATAACCACTCATGTTGTTCTTGCATAATTTGTAAAGCACTCTGGATAAGAGTGCTATATAAGAACTGTCAAATAAATGCCTTGGTGAAAGGATGGTACACTGATCACATTAAAATCACCTGCCTAATATCGTGTAGGACACTTGTGCTCCCAAAACAGCTCTGATGTGTCAAGGCATGGACTCCACAAAACTTCTCAAAGTGTCCTGTGGTATCTGGCTTCAAGACTTTAGCCCAAATCCCAGTTGATCTAGCTCTTGGTGGTTGACAGGAGTCATCATGGGCACTCTGACCAGTCTGCAGCTATGCTGCCCCATACACAGTAAACTGTGACGTATTGTGTTCGGACATCTCTCTAACATGGCCAGCATATGTACATGCATCAATTAGTCTTGGGCGCCCCGATGCAGGTTCATCAGTTGTCCTTCATTGCACCACTTTTAGTCATCTAACCATTACTATTTGGTCCTTGTCAAAGTCAATGAGAGATTTTCACTTGCCCATATTTCCTGCTTCCAACACATGAAATTCAAGAACTGACTGTTTACTTGCTGCCTAATATATAATATATTATTCACTTTACCTGTCAGTTGTTTTAATGTTGTGGCTGATCAGTGTATATAGGAATGTATGAAACCAAATAAAACCAGGAACGTGATTTAGTATAAATATCATGTATTCTCCAGGGACTGGTTTGCATGATCAGGTTTAGTAATATTATCTATTGTAAATTAATTTTGATTTCCCTATAGCTTGGCAATTCAGTTAGAAGAGATCATGTGTATTTGGTTTTATAATACCCCCAGAATCATGGCATCCCACTCTGTTCTACGTCCGCAGCCTCGTGTACTTAGACCAAATTCTAATGCTTGGCAGAATAAAGGCGTGGATTGAATTTCATTAGGCAAACAATTGCTCCATTAGGGTTTTTGTTGAAGCTACTTTCATCAGGCAATCTCTATCTAACTCAAGGCTTGTGTCAGTCTATTCTTAGATTTCAGGTTCTGTTAAGCAAAACACAATGGCAATACTAGGTCACCTTACCTAAAGCTATGGACTAAGAAAGATTACCTGCAGCTCATTAAAATGACCTAATTATCTATGTCAGACGGAATAGCCTGCTTAATCCATCCGACTTGATTACATCTGATTGGTGTAGGTGCCATATTTCTAGATGAAATATGGATGTACAATAAATCATTACTTACAAGACAGTAACAGCAAAATGTATATTTAATTTGCAATAAGATTCAAAGTTTAGGTATCATGTATGCATAGTTTAAAATGGATACCCTTGTTAATTAAAGGGACACGCCACTGCCCAAAAAAATAAAATAAAAATATAAATGTATAAATCGCTGTTTAGTAGATATAACCCTAATGAAAACATGCATGCATATATTTATTCATTTTTTTTTCATTGCAGGTATATCTAAGAACAGAATGCCGTTCTTTTCTCTGCTACCTTAGGGAGCTCTCCCCCTCTAACCACTAACACTTTCTGTAGCTGACCAATCACAGACTTCCCAATGCAGCTCGATGAGAAGTCTTTGCAAGGTAGATGCTCTGGGCAATTGCTACCTCTTGAGTTTTAAGGGATTCTATAGTGCCAGTAAAACAAAGGTGTTTTCTTGGCACTATAGAACCCTACAGTTTCCCCCTCGGTCGTGCCCCACCTCCCACGGCGCTGAAAGGGTTACAACCTCTTCAGTCACTTATCTGAATCCAGCGCCGAGGGATCAGGCTCTGCTTACGCTCTTCCCCCACCGACAGCTGGCGAGGGAGACCTAATGCACATGCGCGGCAATGGCCACGCTCGCATTAGGATTCCCCCATAGGAAATCCTAAAATTCAATGATTTCCTATGGGGACAAATCTGATGCTGGAGGTCCTCATGCAGAGCGGTCTATTTCAAAAGGTCCATTTCAAACCAGGACGCCCTCTAGTGGCTCTCTGGCATTGCACCCAGACCACTTAAATGAGCTGGGTGTAGGTCTGGGTCCCTACAGTGTACCTTTAACTCCACTTAGCAAAGTAAACAAACCAGGAAGTATTAGGACCAGTTATCTGTTTGAAAGCCAAAGGAGTGTAACTAGGTTTATTTATAAAATTGCCAATTGCTATTGAAACCTGCACTTTTTGTAAAATGAGAAAAGAGGACACAGTCTTCACACAAAAAGCATTTCCAAAAGCTAACATACTTTAGGGGTGTCCTTTTAAATAATTGGCCTAGGTAAAAATGACATAAAACAAAAAAATAAAGTTACCTGCGCACTATCCCAAGTTTCTATGCACATTTAAATAACTGCAGGTTACAGTGGCACGTTAACGTACACTTTAATGGCTGGATTTGGAGAGATACTAAGAAACCTACAGTTATTTACTTGTGTATACGGATTTGTGACAGTGCATTTTTTAAATGCTATGTATTGGTGTTGATGAGTACTATAGTCATTGCTTCCAGCCAGGATCAGTGAGAGTTTGAGCAGAGGGCTTAATTTTGGGTTGCAGGCAAAAACTGACCCTATATTGTCTTGATTGTATCATCTGGATAGTGTGATAAAATATACTGCAAAATAGATTTAAAAAATGAAATAAATGAAAAAGATGCATTGCCCTAGCAGACAGACTCTTCCAACATTGGAATGAGATGCTCCAGATTATAGCATCTCATACTGTATGTTTTACTATCCATGGAGCCTTCCACGTTTCACATACAATAGGGCAATACTGATGCAGGGCAACTATAAAGTGTTTGCTTATGACTGAGTGCTTTTTAAGTATATTGTGGAGTGCTGCAAGTGCTAAGGAGACAAAAGCTTAGTATTTACTTTTTTTCAGACAGTGTGTATAGTAATTTTTGATTGGAACGTATTTCTTTGTGAAAATTGTGCTAATTGTGAATACAATATGGCAATTGTCCAAATGAAACACATGGGGCTTCTCCTGGTATGGCATTTTTAATGCTATTACCTCTTTGTACCTTTTATCGATGCTAAACTTTGCCTACTTGACAGCCATGTTCGGTTATCTTAGAGCAGCATTATTTTTTATTACTTGTATTTATAAGCTACTCCCAGAAATAATAGTGGACACTGGGGATTCTAAGCACTGTGTTTATGGTGCTTAGATTGACCCTTTAAAAACATTCACCTTGAAAAGTAAAAATATAATGGGAAATAGTTATTTTGGAGTGTAACTGGAGCGTTGTTATCTATAATTAATCTCCAATTTTCCTGACTTTTTAACTTACACAGCACCAAACGTCTGAGATGTATTTACAATGTACCAGTATCAAATTAGGTTAGATTAATTTTTTAGACCCAAACCAATCTAAATTTTAGACATGTGCAATTCGTTTCGGTCCGTATTAAAATTCAGCCGAATTTTGGGTAATTCGGACATTCGGGTGCTTCCGAATGTCCAAATAGGTGAATTGCCGAAGTGCCAAAATTACCGAATTTCCGAGGTGTCAAAGGTCCGAAGCACAGTATTGCCTAAGTACTAATATACTTATCCAGTGAAAGAAGAAGAATGTTACATTTTATACAATTTTAAATAAAAAGTATACAAACATAGCCAGGATTCAGCTGTAAGCGTTTGCAACACTTACAACAATCAAGTAACACACATTCATATAAAATGTAAGTTACCGTATATACTCGAGTATAAGCCGACCCGAATATAAGCCGAGGCCCCTAATTTTACCACAAAAAACTGGGAAAACTCACTGACTCGAGTATAAGCCTAGGGTGGGAAGTGCAGCAGCTACTGGTAAATTTCTAAATAAAATTAGATCCCAATAAAATTACATTAATTGAATATTTATTTACAGTGTGTGTATAGAATGAATACAGAGTGTGTGTTTGTGTGTGTGTATATAATGAATGCAGAGTGTGTGTGTGTGTATATAATGAATGCAGAGTGTGTGTATATAATGAATGCAGTGTGTTTGTGTGTTGTGTGTGTGTGTATATAATGAATGCAGTGTGTATATAATGCAGTGTGTGTGTTTGTGCAGTGTGTGTAAACTGGGTGAGGGAAGGGCATTTTTATTTTTTTATTTTAATAATATTATATTATTATTTTAATATTAATTATTTTAATAATATTATTATTTTAATATTTGCATTTTTTAAAAAATGTTTTTTTGTCCCCCCTCCCTGCTTGTTGCCTGGTAAGGGAGGGGGACAAAAAAAACATTGCAAAAAAAAAAAGCAAATATTAAAATAATATTAATATAATAATAAAATAATATTATTAAAATAATATAATATTAAAATAATTATTATTTTAATATTATTTTAATAATTATATTATTATTATTTTAATATTTGCATTATTTAAAAAAAAAAAAATGTTTTTTGTTCCCCCTCCCTGCTTGTTGCCTGGTCAGGGAGGGTGGACAAAAAAATAAAATAAAAAAAATAATGCAAATATTAAAATAATAATAAAATAATATTATTAAACTAATATAATATTAAAATAATAATAATATAAATATTAGACCCGTGGGTCTCGCGAGATTTACACTGGGAGCAGAACGGAGCTGCACGGAGGAGAAGGGAGACAGGGAGCTCTTACTTACTTTTCCTGCAGCTCCTGTCAGCCCCCAACAGGACCGTAAGTTGCCACAATACAGACTGACTCGAGTATAAGCCGAGTTGGGGTTTTTCAGCACAAAAAATGTGCCGAAAAAATCTGCTTATACTCAAGTATATACGGTACTTGGCCAGTCATGTAATGACAGGAATGAATAAGTAGATAACTCCCTAATTCCCACGGTATTAGGGAGTTATCTACTAAAAGGTTGAAAGACCTAAATTGGTCTTTCAGCCAAATTTACTAATACTAAATAAAGATTACTTAGTATTAGTAAATTATGCCCCTACTCGCTATACCGTGAGATCCCACCTCCTGAGCTCCCACCTGCGACGTGCGAGTGGGGGCTTTTAAACTAAAGGGGTGGGTGGGTGGGGGCCCTAAAGGAAAAAAAGGGGGGAGGACCTATTGTTCTCCCGAGCGGCGAGTGGGGGCCCTAAAGTTAAATGGGGGGGGGGGACCTATTGCCCCCCAACCCCGAGAGGCAGCTGGGGGCCCTAAAGTGAAAAAAGGGGGGAGGACCTATTGTCCTCCCCACCGGCCCCCACCCCTGAGTAGTGGGTGGGGGCCCTAAATAAAAATTGGGGGGACCTAATGTCCTCCCCCCTGACCCCCACCCCTGAGCGGTGGGTGGGGACCCTAGACAAGAATAAGGGGGGACCTAATGTCCTCCCCTCTGGCCCCCACCCCTGAGCAGTGGATGGGGGCCCTAAATACAAATTGGGGGGACCTAATGGACCCCACTCCTGAGTGGTGGGTGGGGACCCTAAACTAGAATACGGGGGGGTTACCTAATGTCCTCCCCCCGGCCCCCCACCCCTGAGCGGTGGGTGGGGGCCATAAATACAAATTAGGGGGGGCCTAATAACCTCCCTCCCGTCCCCCACCCCTGAGCGGTGGGTGGGGGCCCTAAACTAAAATACAGGGGGACGACCTAATGTTCTCCCCCTGGCCCCCACCCGTGAGCGGTGGGTGGGGGCCCTAAACTAGAATAAGGGGGGACCTAATGTCCCCCACCCCTGAGCAGTGGGTGGGGGGCCCTAAATACAAATTTAACTCCCCACCCCAGGTGACTAGGGGTCCCCATACCCCTAGTCACCCTCTCCCCCCAAAAATTAACCCCTACCTACCCCCCTCACCCTAAAAATAATGAGGGGGGGACCTTTAACTAAGTACCTGTAAAAATAAACTTACCATTTGATGTTTTCTTTCTTCTAAAATCTTCTTTTTTCAGCCCCAAAAAAGGACAAATAAAAATTCATAAAAAACCAGAGCACAAAAAAAAAAATCCATCTTCACCCAGCGAGGGCTCCATGCAGACTGAGCTCTGCAGGGCGGGGGAAGGCTTATAAACCCTTGCCCCGTCCTGCAATTATGCTCAGAGCACTCTGATTGGTGGGTTTAAGCCATCCAATCAGAGTGCTCTGACAGGTAAATGAAGAGACTGACAGGTAAGTCTCTATATTTACCTGTCACAGCACTCTGATTTGTTGGTTTGAAATCCACCAGAGTGCTCTGTGTCATTTTACACAGCGTGGGAAAGTTCTTTGGAATTTTCCCATGCTGTTTATTTGACTCCTAACACTCTAATTGGTGGATTACTTTTTTTTTTTTTTTTTAACAGTGAGCAGCCACAGGCTGTTTAATAGACATGCCCCTACTCGCGGTATAGCGAGTAGGGGCAAAATTTACTAATACTAAGTAATTTTTACTTAGTATTAGTAAATTTGGATGAAAGACCAATTTAGGTCTTTCAGCCTTTTGGTAGATAACTCCCTAATACCGTAGGAATTAGGGAGTTATCTACAAAGCGGCTGCAAGAGAAGTGCCGAAGTTCCAAAGTGTCGAAGGGCCGAATTGCCGAAGTCCCGAATTTCGGAATGCCGAACCGAGCGGAATATTTTCCCCATGCACATGCCTACTAAATTTGATGATTATGTTTAATAAAATGGACATGCCAGTATATAGTGTTTGTGCAAATGCATTTTAAAATGCATAGCATTATCATGTGCTTGCATCACCCTCCCTGTCTGCTAAAAGACAGCCTGTACTTTTGAGCTACAGAGGCTTATGTACAGTGAATGTAGAAAGAATGTTATTTACAGTCCCTCTGGATTATTATTATTATTTATAAACAAGGTTTACAGCACTGCACAATAGGTGAACTTACAAACAAGTACTTGCAACAAGACAAGTGGAACTACAAGAACAGAAGGTGATGAGGGCCCAGCTCACATTTTATTTCTTTAGAACTGTGTTTCAGGTTTGAGGAAACTTTTTGTCCCTATTATTATTTTATTATTTATATAGCGCCATCAGATTCCATAGCGCTGTACAATGGGTGGACTAACAGTTATGTATTTGTAACCTGACAACTGGACGTACAGGAACAGAGGGGTTGAGGGCCCTGCTCAATGAGCTTACATTCTAGAGTGAGTGGGGTATAGTGACACAAAGGGTAAAAGTCAGGGTACGAAATAGGTTGTTAGAAAAGTATTCACTGAGGGCTTAGTGGGTAATTTTTGACAGTTGCAGGAGAGGAGTCATGGTGGGTGGGGGATAAAAACCTGCTAACAGTTTAATTGATATGCTTTCTTGAAGAAGTGAGTTTTCAATGATTTTTTTGAATGAGTGGAGACTGGGTGAAAGTCTTACGGAGAAAATTCTTCTTGTCTATACATCCGATTACAATGGGGGTTAAATGTCTAGTAGATATATGGATGTTAACACTTGTTAGACAAATAATTTGAGTAGGAAGTTATTTCATACACAGGTATTACCTGATACGCAATACTGATTCCAAAATGCCAAAACATGGAACAATTATTTATGAAGTGACACACAGCTAGAATATTTTGCTTAAATATTCCAATTAGTCTTCAGCTTGCTATGATTTATTAAGTGAATAAACATTGACCTCACAGTAGCAATCCATTGTCCAATCTCAGAATAACTGCCTTTATTAAAACCACTCATTACTAAGGGATTGAGTGGCACACGGCCAACTCTATCACAAAACTTTGGACTCCAGAATGAATGATTTGTATAAACTATGTATTGTGTTTAGTAACTGATTTGTAAGCACACATGTTATGATTAACATAATAACAAAAACAACAAAACACCTGACAAAATGTGCACACAATCCCACTACTTGTTTTAAGATCAAAGACCCATTGTACTATCTGATAGAGTTCACAGCATGTTTTAATACATTGTTTCCCAATGTTAGTTTACAAATTGCAATCATGAGCAATCTGAATGTCAAATACCTAATTTTGGTCAAATTTGACATCACAAGCTCAATATGCCAAGGGAGGGATTGGCAACACAATAGACCCGATACAGTAAGGCTCTTTAGAGCATGAATTCCCTCTAAGCCGAGCCACTTTGTCTTCACATTTTCCATGACTGATTTACGTATCTGAAAAGTGTTGTATAATGTACAACAATACAACTTGATTGTCTTGGTGTTAGAATTGATTGAAGTAGTTCCTTTAAGATTGTCTCTGAAGCTTAAGTGCCTTTATCAATAGTAGTTCATTGTTGTTGTGGTATTTAACATTGGATGATGATTGTTCACCTATTTTTGTGCGCTTTATTTATTGTGGCACCCAACATTTAATGAAGAAATGGTAGTAGTTTGAGGTTCAACTGCTTTTCAGCACGGCAACTTCAATGGGAAAACAAAAGACGACTCACGTTTCTTTTGTCTCGAAAAGGTTTGTGCAACATGCTTATTGAAGAGCTGTCTGAAATAAAAATTAATAAACATTTTGAGAAAGTTTTACATTTATATGGAATTCAAGCATTCATTGTGTTACTCTAACCAGCTGTATTTGATCATGTCTCAAAAGAGCACAGAGGGCTTGATACAAAAAAAATAATACAAAAACGCCTGATTGTACAAAAGAATGAAAAAATGTATTCTTTTAACTGAGCACAATCACAATTGATGGTAATTTAGAGCTCAGATTATTAGGGTCTTATTATGTAAAGAATTACTATAAATGCATGAACTGATTTATTCTTTTTTCAGAATGTAAAAAGCACTTTTATTTTGTAGTAATGGCAGTAAAAAAAATAAAAATCTACTATTTATGAATCCATCGACGCCCAGAGATTGATACGGGTGCTTGGATTTATCTGCTGCAAAAAAGGATATATATATATATATATATATATATATATATATATATATATATATGAGTCTAGCTCTTTAATTATCTATTATTTTGCATTATGTTGCATTTCTACATGTTGACATTAATATAACTGAAATATGTATATATGAATGTTCCCATAGCTCCCAACATCAGGAAGTATGAAATTGGGATGAGAGGACAAGCTAATGGCGGAATGCCAGTGATGCCACTTGTGTCCATGGCGATGCCCAAAATGTGTGGTCTCACCCAGAATGGGGACAGGTCTGTCAAAGGAAGGGGTGTGTGAACCTGACGTTTATATAAACCTTGCTGACTGATAGCGTCCTTGGCCAGCGCCACTTAGGGCAGACTATACACAGAGCATTGGCAGAAGAGCGCGTGCATGGTCCTTGTAACCTGATAAGCAAGTCTATGGATGCATTTGTGTTGTGCTTGCTGGCAACTGTTTTCTTAAGTGGGACACCAAGTAACAAATCCAGGATGGAGGAACAGGAGCCTGAACGTGATCTGAGACTCTTGGGGAGTATGTGTTCCAAGGTCCAGATTGGGACATTTACCAAACTTGCAAGATTGTAAAATTAAAATCTTTGTAAAGCAAAATACATAGCAATTTTACCAAACCACTAGAAAAACCTTAATGAACATCACGTGGCATGAGAATGGGTTCAATCAATTTAAAATTGTGGAGACTTGACAAGAAAATGAATTTTTTTTTTAAATTCAAAAATATTACACCACGACAATTTTTTTTGCTTTGCTATTTATGCAGAGTCTTTCTTATGCTTTCCACACCTACTCGAGGGGGGACACATATCTAACCAACCAAACCAGTCCTTTGGAATGCTGGAAAAGTGCATTGGGCATGCCTGACCAATTTACACACGTGCAGTTGGGAGATATAGTCACATTTATAGTAAGTTTATAAACTTTTATGAGATACCTTCCAAGGTAATTTTTTCTGTATATTGGTTTGTTTAAAGGTGTTTGCTTTGTGGTTTAATAAAATAATTGTCAAAGATGCATGTCCCTCTTATTTCTACAATCCCATGTTTAGTGAAAATATTTATACACCCTATAGTAGCTGTAAATAAAACCAACATTTCAGTGGAAAAGGGATCATAAGACAAACTACAAAAAACTGTGCACTATTGCAACTATTGCACAGTGTTATAATAATATCTTTGTTATTGTCAAAGAATGTAAGTAGATTGCAGGCACTATATAAATGATAATAACAATTGTCTCAACAGTATGCATATAATTGTAAAAGACCAGTGCAAACATTGAAATGGAGATTAAACCAATACATTCATCAATTCAAACACAAAACACATCAATAAATAAGTGTATGTGTAATTGAAAAATGGTGCTAGTCCCCTTACTGGGAATTGTTTAGCGCAAGTTACATTTTAGACAGTAGTGTCTAGGTTGTATTTCAACAAATATCAAACAGGAACAGCACTCCATCTACATAAGCTAAGGGTGCTAAAGCAGATCATGGGCCAGCACAATCCCCACAACTGGAAATGTCAATGATAGAGGAGAGGTCCAGGCACTTCAATAGCTTTAGGTTATATTTCAAAATCTATGGTATACATATTGATAGAAGCTACAGTATATCTGTGAAGTGTGTTAACTGTGGAGCCAGATGAAGATGACTTTTTAAAAACTGAACTTCCTCTCATACCACAAATTAGTTTTAAAAAAGGTAGAAATTTTAAAAATTTGTTAGCACCAAGCACTTTTAGGAATAAGGAAAAACGGGAAAGGAACAGTGGAGGTTTTTTCTCTTGTGGGTCATGCAAAAGTTACAAACACAAGATTTATAAAACAGATCATTTTAAAAGTTGGAACACAGGGAAAAGTTTTACGATCAAAGAACCCATAACCTGCAATGCCACACATGTGGTATATCTTTTAACATGTGGGTGTGGGGTACAATATGTCGGTAGGACGATCAGACCATTGAAAAAAGGCTTTTTAGAACATTGTAACAATATTAAAAAGAACATTTTAGCCCACTCAGTTCCAGTGCATTGTAATAACTATGGGAGTTTTAATTCCGACAGTTTTTCATGCATAAGGATTTAGAAAGTTCATTTAGATGACAGAGGGGGTGATTTGGTACTTAAAGGAACACTATAGTCACCTAAATTACTTTAGCTAAATAAAGCAGTTTTAGTGTATAGATCATTCCCCTGCAATTTCACTGCTCAATTCACTGTCATTTAGGAGTTAAATAACTTTGTTTCTGTTTATGCAGCCCTAGCCACACCTCCCCTGGCTATGACTGACAGAGCCTGCATGAAAAAAAACTGGTTTCACTTTCAAACAGATGTAATTTACCTTAAATAATTGTATCTCAATCTCTAAATTTAACTTTAATCACATACAGGAGGCTCTTGCAGGGTCTAGCAAGCTATTAACATAGCAGGGGATAAGAAAATCTTAATTAACCCCTTAAGACCGGAGGGCGTACAATTACGCCCTATTTTAGGCGGCTCTAAATGCCGCCATGCGTAATTGTACGCCCTCCGGTCTATCTTTACTTACCCGGTCGCCGGCGATAACACGCCGGCGATCGCCGTGGGGGGGACTCCCAGGGAGTCCCCCGCAGCACGTCTGACCCCCTGGAAGCCCCCCTGGCCATGTGAGAGTGAGGTCCTTGCCTGTAATGACAGGTGGTCCCCCTGCTGGCTGATAATAAAATTAAATAAAATTTATTAAAAAGTAAAGTGTAAAAAAAAAATATATATACTTAGATCATATATATATATATATATATATATATATATATGATATATTATATATATATGATCTAAGTATATATATATACACATATACATACACACACATACACTGTCTAGGTGTATTTTACTATTAATATATATATATAATTATATATATATATATATTAATATCAAATTACACGTAGACTGATACTGATTAAATATATATATATATATATATAATTCTTGTTATATATATATTTATATATAATATAAAAAATTAAATATGTAAATACTTTAAAAAAATAATTCAAAAAATAATAAAAAAATATATAGATGTGTGTTATTTCGTTCTAACTGTATTGTGATATTAATATATATATATATTTATATCAAAATACACGTAGAACAAAATAATATATATATCTACATACATAAATATATACGTATATATCACTATATATATACCTATATATAAATAAAAATATTTTTAAAAAATTATATATATATATATACACATATAGATTCACATACGTATATATATATATACATATATTAATTCTACATATATATTTATGTAATATTTTTATATAATTAGGTATCTTAACTAATTACAATTAGCGGGACCTGCCTGACAACCCATGCCGAAAGTAAAGGGAATTTAATTTGCTAGCAC